TCATACACATAAAATAATAAAAAAATTTAAATCAAACAAAAATATAACAAACCTAGTAAATGAGAAGTATCTTGTCATTGTTTTAATTCACATTTCTCTAGTGATTTACAATGTCGAGCACCTTTCTCATTTGGAGAAATGTCTCTTTAAATCCATGCTCAGGTTAAACAAATTTTAATCTCTTGTTGAGTTGTAAGAACTTTTTTAAAATATCAAATACAGGGACTAGAGAGATAGTTCATTGGTTGAGAGCACTGGCTACTCTTGCAGAGGACCCAGGTTCAAGTCCCTGCACCCATGTGGTGGCTAACAACTGTCCTTAACTCCAGCTCCAAGGGATCTAATGCCCTCTTCTGACCTCCATGAGCATTGCACGATATGGGTGCACTTGTATACATGCAGGCAATATACTACACTCATACACATAAGATAAAAATAATAACATATTTTAAAAATCAAATATATAATTTGCTTATATATATTTATTCTGTGAGATGTCTTACTTTTCTGAATGTCCTTTGATACACAAGAATTTTATTTAAGTTTAATTTAAATTTAATTTAATTTAATTTTTTTTTTTTTTGTCTTTTTTGAGACAGGGACTCCCTGTAGCCCCAGCTGTCCTGGAACTCACTACATAGACCAGGCTGGCCTTGATCTCACAGAGATCTGCCTGCCTCTGCCTCCCGAGTGCTGGGATTAAAGGAATGCACCACCACGCCTGGCAAGAATTTTATTTTTACAAAATCTTATTTTTATATGTTTTCCTTTTTTTACTCATACTTTTGTTGTTCTAAGTTCATTGCCAAATTGAATATAATAAAGATTTATCCTTGTATTTTCTTCCAAGAGTTTTAAAACATAAATTTAAGTCATTGATATATTTGAGTTAGTTTTTGCATATGATATGAGGTAGGTGATTAGGTGTTACTTTCACACACACACACACCCCCCTTCTCTTTGCATGTTGAGATCTACTGTTCTTGTGCCATTTGTTAAGAGGCTATTCTTTCTCTCATTGAATGATATTGGCATCCTTGTCAAAAAAAACCCAACTGATCATAGCATATGTGTTTATTTCTCGATTCTCAATTGCATTCCATTTAATGTGTTTAGTCTTATGTTCCTTCTTTTGATTAGAGTAGCCTTTCAGTAAGTATTGAGATCAGAAAATGTGACTCCTCCATATCTATTCTTTTTGCTTGTGTATATTTATATGTGTACATGTTCCTGTGTGTGTGTGTTCCAGAGGTCACCTTATTTACTTATGGTATTTTTGAGACAGGCCTCCTTGTAGTCCTAGCTGGCTTGGAACTCACTATGTAGACTAGGCTGGCCTCAATCTCACAGAGATCTGCCTGCCTCTGCCTCCAGGGTGCTGGGATTAATGGCATGCGACACCATCCAAGGCTCTTACCTTGCTTGTTTTTGAGACAGGGTCTCTCATTGAATCTTGAGCTTTCAAATTTGGCTAGGCTGGCTGGTCAAGGAGCTCAGGAATCCCCCTGTCTCTGCTTCCCCAAATGGCTGGAATGACAAGTGCTGTTCACCATGCTTGGCTTTTTACTTGGGTTCTGGGGAATCAGATCATATCCTTATACTTTCATGGCAAGCACTTTACTGACTGAGTCATTCCCCCTGGCCTCTGCATTTTTTTATTTTCTAAGATTGTTTTTGATATTTGGGTTTTTTTTTTTTTTTACATTTCCTCATGAATTTTAGACTCAATTATTCCATTGCCACAAAAAAGGCCATTGAATTTTTAAAAACATTTATTATTTTTATTTTATGTGTATGAGTGCATTGCCTGCATGTATGTGAGTGCACCGACGTCATGTAGTGCCGCTGAGGTCAGAAGAGGGCTTCAGATTCCCCTGGAACTGGAGGTAAAGATGGTTCATAGCCGCCATGTGGGTGCTGGGAATTGAACCCAGGTCCTCTGCAAGAGCAGTTGGTGCTCTTAACTGCTGAGCTATCTCTCCAGCCCCAAGGCCATTGAATTTTGATAAAGATTGCAATGAGCTTGTAGATTTGCGGAGTTTTATCACCCTACTAGGAATATTACTTTCCAATCTATGATGTCTTTAAGGCTTCTTTGTTTTATCAATATTTTGTAGTTCTTAGAATATACACATTTGATTTCCTTGTTTACATTTATTCCTAAGTGCTTTATTCTTTTTGCTTCTATTAAGATGGGATTGCTTGTTAATTTCATTTTAAGATTAAGCTTTCCCATTTTCTTTATTATTATTTTTAAATATTTTATTTATTATTTTTATTTTATGTGTATGAGTGTATTGCCTGCATGTATGTGAGTGCACCCGTGTCGTGCAACGCCGTGGAGGTCAGAAGAGGGCTTCGGATTCCCCTGGAACTGGAGTTAAGGACGGTTCTTAGCTGCCATGTGGGTGCTGGGAATCGAACCTGGGTCCTCTGCAAGAGCAGTCAGTGCTCTTAACTGCTGAGCCATCTCTCCAGCCCCTTAAGCTTTTCCATTTTATAGAAATATCACTGTTTTGTTGTTTCTCTTGTTTCCTGAAGCATTGGTAAATTATCTCATTAGTTTTAGCAGTGTTTTACCTGTCTTCTTTATGATATATTTTGTATAAAATCTTGTCATCTATAGATAGAGATTTTTTTTTGTTTCTACCTTTAGAACTTGAATGCTTTTCACTTTTTTTCTTGTCTAATTGGTCTGGCTACAACTTCCAGATTTTATTGAACAGGCATAATAACATGGACATTCTTCTTCCTAATCTTAATGACAAAACCTTCAGTTTTTCATTACTGTATATGTTGTTAATTATGTTTTTTAAAATTCCACTTATTATGTTTAAGAAGTTCCCCTTTATTTTGAATTTTTAAAGAATATTTTTTATTTTAAATTTTTTTATGTGTATGAGAGTATTGTCTGTGTAAGTGCACCTGTGTTGTAAAATGCCTGTGGATGCCAGAGAGGGCTTGAGATACCCTGGAACCGGAGTTACTGACAGCACCTTGTGGGTGCTGGGACCTGAACCCAGGTCCTCTGCAAGAGCAGTCAGTGCTCTTAATCGCTGAGCAATCTTTCCAGCCCCCTTTATTTTGAGGTTTTTCAGTGTTTTAGAGTGTGTTGAATTTTGACAAAATATTTTTCAGCCTCAGTTGATAGGATCATAGGCTTTCCCTGCCCACACCCTGCATTTTTAACCACTTGGCCCAACTGCCTCTTTTCTATCCTTTATGAGTTTTTTCTATCCTTTATGAGTTTATTAGCTTTCATAATCTGCTTTGGGCACTTACAGCATGAAAACGTTTTCATCAAAAACCACTAAAATATTGACTTCCATGGCTGTATGCAATTTTCTCATGTGCTTTTTCCACAATTTATCTAATACTTCATGTTCTCAAAATCTCAATATTTTATCTATAGGAATGCGGTCTTTGGCACTGGAATGATTGGGTTGAATGCTATGAATACTTTGAAGTTCTTTGTATGATTTCTGATGTCTTTTACAAAAATGAATGCAAAAATCTACCCCTTGATAAAAGTAGCTACATTTTACACAAATGTGCATTATCTCTACCTGTATTTTACTTAGTTTGCAAAAGAACCTGCATTCTGGCCAACTCTATTTTTCAGTTATATTATCTTTCCTTTGTCAATACTCATTTACCTGTTCCAACATGTATGTTTTTTTCAGAAATACAGAAACATTACAAAGCAAACTTATACATTAAATGAATGTACATTTAATCTGAGAAAATATCAAAGAAAAACATTTGTATTAATTGTTGCATTTGATTTGATTTAAAAAGCACATTGGGGCTGGAGGGATGAGTCAGTAGTTAAGAGCACTTGTTGCTCTTCTAGAAGGCTGGAGTTCAGTTCCCAGGACCCACCTTTGGAGGCTTACAAACACCTGTAACTCCAGTTCCTGGGGATCCAATGCCCTCTCTGGCCTCTAGGAGCACACAGTATACACACGCACAAACCCGTACAGAGACACACACACCTACATATTGCTGATGCAAAAGCATAACTCTCACCTAAAAGGGGATAAGAGTTTATTCTGGAGCCAAATATGAGTGACAAAGGCCTAGGAACATAGACTCAGGTTATCCCAAATTCCATGTTCCAATGTGGTAACAGTTTCATGAAGTTTTTATAGTAACACAACAAAGAAAAGTCATAAATCAAGACACTTTTCAAATACATTGGCAGAAACATTAAATAAGTAGAAACAGCAGAAGAGAAATCTCAGCTATAGGCTTCAGAAGCTGTCTGATGGCACTCAGCCTTTTGGTTGGTGGAAACTGGCGGTCTGCTAAGTTAATACATTCCAAAATTTTTTTTTTTTTTGTTAGTCACAAGATGTTAAGTCAGAAACAAAGGTGGGCAAGAAACAGCTATTTGGGGGTTAAGGATGGCCTAAAATTATGTTAATTAGGTTCTGAACCTGTAACATTACCAACTCTCCACACTCACAGAAATTAAAATCAGTTGATTAGCCTTTGTAAGAATGTTCAGTTGTAAGATGCAGTTTTTCTGGGAACTTTCCTTCACAAAATAATTAAGTCTTTAAAGTGTATAAAAATCACCTTCAAGTTACTAACGTTGTACACACAGGTATCAAATAAGTATAGACGGATGCTTAAGGGTGTTAAATACACGCATTTACACATCCATTTTGATAACATTAGATGAATTAAATTAAAAATATGATCAAATTCTAAAAGCAAGTCAAGTGAAAAAACCGAAGCTCGGAACAGACAAATGGAGACAAGTAGGAGACTTGAAGTTGCTACAGTTTTAGTTTCTTGGTAACCCCCAGGAGCAGCAGAAAAACTACGACTCCCAGAGTGCTTAGAGCGAATAGGCGCGCCACAGCCTCCGTCCTCGCTGCCTAAGACCCGCCTTCTCCCTCTACTGATTGGACCTATCACTTCCGCACCGCTATCTTCTCTCCTCCTATTGGTGGATGTTCCAGCAGTGGCCCAACCCGGAGTTTTTGCTGGCTTAGTCCTGTCAAGCGCCCAGCTCTTTCTCCCGTACTAAGATGGCGGCAGAAGCAGCTGGTGGGAAGTACAGAAGCACAGTCAGCAAAAGCAAAGACCCCTCGGGGCTGCTCATCTCGGTGATCAGGTGAGGGAGGCAGGAGACAGGGTGAGGGGCAGGGGCAGCGGCTTGTCCTCTGCTGCGGAACGGAGGAGATAGGGCCGGGCCCCAGCCGCCGGCTCGACCCTCCTGGCCTCCCAGCCCCTCCCCAGGGCCCGCAACCCTCACCTCGGCGACCTGCGGAACCAGGTGTTTCTCCGAGGCTTAGAGAGGGAGGAGCCGGTCTCACTGTCTTTTTCCTCGGTCCCGGGCCCTGCAAGCTGGCACGCGTGGGTCTAGCCAGAAACCAGGTGTTTGTGTGTTCATACATTCTTGAAGCAGTGATTGACCCCGGTGTAGCGTCCTGAGAAGGGCGTGCTGGGTCCGGGCTTCCCAGGGACAGGCCCGAAGTCTGCCAGGAGTTGCAATGATGCCCCACCCGGGCACTTGCACCACCTGTGAAGAACCACTGCCTCACCTCTAGGGTCTGTGGTGAGCTGGTTCAGACCGTGTTTTGAAGTGGCACATCTTTCGATTTTTGCTTTTTCGTTTTCTTTCCCATTCCAGTCTCAAAAACAGACCAAAGCAAAATTTCAAATTATTCTCCCCCCCCCCAAATATTGGGGAGAATTGGATTGGTGAACTGTTTATAAGTCCGTTTTTTTTTTTTTTAAAGTGGACTAAATTCAAACCAACCTGAATAAAATGCATTGACACGTTTATACGTTGTTGTCATTTGAATTTCACCTTAGGTATTTTCATGAAACAAACATCCTTCCTGCTTTCCCCAACTTGTTCTTTGGTTTGAGTTTCTAGGGTTCCTGCCCGACCATCAGTATCTGGTAGGTTAGTAAGCCCCTGAACAAATGAATAAGTCAAACTTTTAAAGCAGTTTACCACGTGTGGACTGATAATAACTCATCTATAAGTTTTATGAAGGGGACCAGAGTTTAAGGCTATAGCCTGTTAGGTCATTATTATCAATTTTATTTTACAAATGAGAGAATAATTCCCTAAAAATAATGTTTTTGGTAGACTCTGAGGAGAAAATATTTTTTTTGTATGTGTGTGTGTGCGTGTGTATATATATATATAGTATATACTGTGTATATATATTTTTGTATATATATATGCACATAGGCTTACTTTGACAATACACAGTATAGATTTAACCTATGATATTAAAACTTCAGAGCACTTGAAGTATGTCATCCTAAGTATCTGTGGATTGTCATATGAGTCTGTTTGGGTCCTGTTTTTCTATTGAACTTGTTTTTTTGATAGTCGACATTCGCTTAAACAATAGATATTTAATGTGGTATGGTGCTTAGTATTTATCACATACTTAGTAAATATTTGTTGAATGAATAATTGAAAACCCTGTTTTTTGGAAAGGTGCGTCAGATATGATATTACCCCTGAGAAGATCATATTCTACTTGAAAGATAGAAATGTGTATAAAAAGTATGAAATAAAGGGAGATGAAATGATACAGAAATTCAGAATTTATGGAAGAAGTCACTTCTGAGCGAAGTGAAGTAACAGCAGTGTGCAAATGTACCATCCTTTTCTGTGTGCTCATGATTCTATTGGCTTTATAACTTTTTTACTATATGTCACTTTTCTTCACATTCAGTTAAATTTATCCAAAATGTCTGATATTTGAAAATAATGTGCAACTTAACCTAAAACTGTTGCTAATTCTTTCTTGGTGTGTCCTTCCTGCTTTTCTTTCCACTTACTTGGTGGTTTAAATTTCTGAACCAGTGGCAGTGAATGAGAGGAGAAGGTGGTATGATGCTGGGGTTTGGGGACTGGAGAGTGAGGAGGGTCTTGCCTGAGAGACCGGAATAGGGAATGCCTATTTCTTACTAGTAGACCTGCAGCCATTCTGAAGTTGCTCTTCCTGGCTGTTTAGTTTGTATACTTGGCGCTGCCCTTGCAATATTGTTCATTATTCTTAGATCTTTCCATGTACTTTGATTACCTCCTTCTGTCCTTAACCTTTTCTCAAAATCTCTCAAAAACTGGACCTTTTCTGGTTGCTTTGGCAACAAGCTTTACAAAGGAAAACCCACTTGAGGTTTGTTTATGAAGTCTGAGTGTTCCTGAAGGGATACCTGGTACAGTCATCTTTCTTTCATGTTGCCATGGACCTATCATTTTGTCACAAAATAAGTTATTTATTAGTGATAGAATCTTTAAAAAAGATTTGATTGGCTTAGCCTTGTCTTATTTATTTATTATTTAATTTTATGTGTATGAGTGTTTTGCCTCTATATAAGTGCACCCATGTCCTGCAGTGCCCAAGGAGGCCAGAAGAGGGTGTCGGATCCCCTGGAACTAGTGTGATGGTAGTTAGCCTCCATATGGGTGCTGGGAATGGAACCTCGGTCCTCTGGAAGAGCAGCCTGTGCTCTTTTAACTGCTGAGCCATCTCTCCAGCCCCTTAGCTTTATCTTTTTATATCACTGAGCAGTTGTTTTTTAAAAAAACTTCTTTAGTTCTCTTGCTCAAATATGTAAAAATGCCATTTTTGTACTACCTATTGTAACAATTTATATTGCTTTAAAAATGATATTCCTAATAGAGTAGCATTATTGTTGCCTCCATCTTTTAGTACTGGATTATAAAAACTTGGGTAGGTAAGGGCTAATGTCAGACGTAGCAGGTGTAGACAAAGCCAGTATCCTACTCTCATTACTCTTTCCTTTTTATCTTGTTTGTTTACTTTTTAGGCAGGGTCTCAGTACCCAGGCTGACCTTGAACTTGCAGTGTAGCTAAGGGGCAACCTTGAACTTCTGATCCTCGGGCATCTACCTCCTGAGTTCTGGGAGAATAGGCATGTGCCTGACTGCTGGGAGAACAGGCGTGTTCGTAGAGTTCTCACTGCCATTTCCTACCATGGGTTTAACTAATTAAAAATGTTTTGCCAATATGAGAGGTCACTGAAAATTTAAAAGAAAAAAATGAAATATAGTATAATTGAAATACTATATTTGACTAATTTTTAGTCATTTAAAAATACTGAATAATGGGGCTGGAGAGATGACTCAGTGGTTAAGATCCCTGGTTGCTCTTGCAGAGGACCCAGGTTCGTTTCCCAACACCCGTATGGCAGCTAGCAACCATCTGTAACTCCAGTTCTAGGAGAATCTGACTCCTTCTTCTGACTTCCATAGGCATTGCACAACACAGGTATACTTACATGCATGCAGGCATTATACTCAAACATAAAAAAATAAAAAAATTTAAAATACTGAATAAAAAGATACCAGGTCAGCCAGATGTTTAAACGATCTACTCCTTCAGCTTTCTAAAAGTCCTCGGGTCTACGAGGATGGTACTTGTGATTTAGTCTTGATGGCTCCTAACTGTGCAGAATTTGGGTGTAAGTCTTTCCATTGGCCCTTTAAAACAGAACTAATTGGGTGGACAGAGCCCTGATTACCTGCTGATGTGCACTTTGGGCAGTTTTATACACACACACACACACACACACACACACACGCACGCACGCACGCACACACCCCCCAGTTCCCTTCTTCTCTTGATTACCTCACCTCAGCCTTTTGTTTGGTGTGAAGTTGGAGTTGTGAAATAAGCAACACGGCATTTCAGAGACAATATTTTATTTTTGTGAGTTCTTGTCAAATTTTTAATTGGGAAATGTGTCTACCACTTACTGTTAGGTGATTTGCTTTCCAATTAAATGTCTCTCTCTTTTTGTACGTTGGTCCGCAGTAGCCAGTTTAATTGGGGAGACAACTCTGGTTGTGACTTAAGGAGACCCTATTGAAATCTTGGAGCAGAGCTTTTGTAGACGGGCTGGTTATAGATGTCAAGGAGGTTTGAAGGCAGTTGGAGGCTTATATTTTCATCAACTTTTATGTCTTCAGAGAAGCTGGAATTTCAAAAACGTAGACAATCCTTTATTGTAGGCTCCTGTTAAATTCCTTCCTTGCTTTGTGGAGGATATTTTGGTCAGCTCATAGTTAACTCAAAGTAAAGTTTGTTGAGGGGGTCCAGGCTTTGATCTGTGCTTTGAACAGAGAGCTTTGAGGTGCATGGCAGTTTGTGGAAGGAAAAGAACATGGTCACTCTGTTCTGAGCTGGGTCAATGGAAACTGTGTTAGGCACTGATGTTGTTTCTAGCAACTTCTCTCTTCATCTGAGCCCATCTCAAAATGCCCTATAGTTTTCTAGTTCTTTGTTCCCCTTTGTCTTGGCACTGATGGTGTGGTGCTGTTTACAAGTTACTATAGAATAATGGGAGAATAAGCAGTCCAGGGGCTGGGGATGGAGCTCAGTTGGTAGAGTACTTGCCTAGCATGTATGAAATCCTGGGTTTGGTGCCCAGCATAAGATGGGGAATGGTGGTGCACACTTGTAATCTCAGCACTTCTGAGGTGGAGGCTTAAACTTTGCTCTAGGATGCAGCTAGGCTACTGGGAAACAATTTGGTTCTTTCAGTACTTGTTCTAAGTTTACTAGTCAGGATCACAATACTCTTTAGTCCAGGGCTAATTTTGCAAAAAGTCTTTTGAGTACTCCACCCAGTCCTCTGAGACTTCTGAGACTTCTCATTTTGACTGAGGGAAGTCATTACACTCTCTTCCCATGTGAGTTGAGGTTCAGGGAAGACCCTCTGCAGATCTTCAGGGTCCTCTGTATCACCCTCTGTCCTCTCCTACTTCCATTTGCAAGACTGGCAGCCTTAGTGTCCAGGGTTTTGGAAACTCATTTTGCTTGTTAACTGATGTTAGTTTATGTGCCCAGTGTAGAAGTTTATCAATACTAGCATTTTAAAAAGTATCTCTAATTTTCCTTGGCATTGTTTTGGGTTATCTGTAGTCCAGTGGAACAAGGGAATCACAGGTGCTATTTGACATCACCGTGTGGCAGTGAGCATCTCCACACTGAGGGGCTTTCCTATTTTGCACAGTATTTTTTTTTTTTTTCTCTAGAGCTGAGGGCCAAACCCAGGGTGGCGTGCTTGCTAGGCACTGAGCTAAACCCCCAACCTCCCATTCTGCACAGTATTAAG